TGTAAATCTACTAAAGGAATATCAGGAAAGACCCGAGGATATAGCCGCCATATGCATACCCGCTGCCGAAGACCCTGACAGCTTACCCATACCCGACCTATTAGCTAACCCAGAACCTAAAACCCTACTCAATACCGTACAGCTAGGGGAACGGTTAACTCCCGCCGAAAAGGGACAGATCCGACAGCTGCTGACTGAGAAAGGGTTGACGTTTTCCCAAGAGCCCGGGTACACCCCCTTAGCAACCCACTATGTAGAGACCCCAGGACAAACCCCTCTCCGACAAACCCCCTATAGGATCCCTGAGGCAGTAAAAGAGGAGATGAGGAAGGAGATCCAAGAAATGTTAAGACTGGGGGTGATAGAGCCCTCGGAGAGTCCGTGGGCCTCCCCGGTGGTTCTAGTTCCCAAGAAGGACGGAACCACTCGGTTCTGTGTCGATTATCGACGTCTCAATGACAGAACCGTGACAGACGCCTACCCCATGCCCCGAGTAGAAGAGCTATTAGATCGCATTGCCAGGGGACGTTATCTGACCACCATCGATTTGTGCAAAGGATATTGGCAGATCCCCCTGGACAAGGAGGCTATTCCTAAGTCGGCCTTTGTCACCCCATTTGGCTTGTACCAGTTCAAAGTCATGCCATTTGGGATGAAAAACGCCCCGGCTACATTCCAGCGCTTAGTGGACCGCCTCCTTGATGGCTTCCAGGATTTCGCTTGCGCGTACCTGGATGACATTGCGATCTATAGCGAAACCTGGGGGGAGCATTTAAAGCATGTCGAAGCCGTGCTGGATCAGATTCGAGCCGCAGGCTTGACTCTGAAACCAGAGAAGTGTAACTTCGGCATGGCCGAAGTCCAGTACCTGGGACACCGGGTGGGATGTGGGAAGCAGCGCCCAGAACCCGCTAAAGTTGAAGCGGTAGCTAACTGGCCCACACCCCACACCAAAACTCAGGTCTTAGCATTTTTGGGGACGGCGGGATATTATAGGAGGTTTGTCCCAGACTATAGCGCCATCGCAAAACCCTTGACAGACCTAACCAAAAAGAACTTGCCTAGGATAGTCCTGTGGTCTCCCGCCTGTGAAACCGCCTTTCAAGCCCTAAAGAATGCTCTAATCCATGCACCTGTCCTGTCTGCCCCCGTCCCTAACAAAAGATTTGTCGCCCATACAGATGCATCCATGTATGGACTGGGGGCAGTTCTAAGCCAGGTCGGTGAGGATGGAGGCGAGCACCCTGTCGCGTATCTCAGTAGAAAACTGTTACCTAGGGAAGTGAGTTACGCGGCAGTGGAAAAGGAATGCTTGGCCCTAGTCTGGGCACTAAAGAAACTCACCCCATATTTGTACGGGCAGGAATTTACTCTAATCACCGACCATAACCCCCTGGTATGGCTGAATAGAGTAGCTGGAGACAATGGACGTTTATTAAGATGGAGCCTCGCAC